AAACCAGTTAAAGACACGTTAAAAGATCTTGCCTGGGAAGTATTAACCCACCAGCCGTATTCACCAGACCTTGCTCCTTCAGATTACCACTTGTTCCGATCGATGGCACACGTACTTTCTGAGCAGCACTTCAAAAGGTACGAAGAAGTGGAAAATTGGGTCTCTGAATGGTTTGCCTCAAAACAAGAAAAGTTCTATTGGGATGATATCCACAAATTACCTGAAAGATGGGGGAAATGTGTAGCTAGCGATCGACATTACTTTGAATAAAGCACTTTTGATGTTTCTCTTGAAATTACCATGTGTGTTTTTTATTACAAAATCCGTATTAACTGGTACACCTGGTATATGATCTCTAGTCCCATCCAGCTCAATAATCCTGTTAAAGACTTCAAACAGACATTCAGGCCTCCATGTGCCACTTTACTTTGCAGAGTAAAGTTAGCTGTCATGACTTGCCCTAGTAACTTTGTTGAGCACACATGCATGTGTACTCATTACCTTCTAAAGGTGGGGGTAAACACAGCCTACTGGAAGGCAACACACACTACTGACTTCTACAGTGGTCCCCAATACCTATGGCACCTAAAGAGGGCTTTTGTAATATCAAATGCATCAGCAACTGGTACCCTACCATGTTTTTAAAATTCTGCAGCAAAAATTAAAGATGATCTAAAAAATTGGAAAGAAATCTCTTGCTCGTGGATTGGAAGACTTAAGATTGTAAAGATGGTGAGAGTCCCCAAAGCCATCTACAGATTCAGTGCAATCCCTATTAAAATGTCAATACACTTTGTTGCAGAAACGGAAAAACTCGTCCTCAAATTCATATGGAATTGCAAGAGGCCCCTGATAGCCAAAATAATATTGAGAGAGAAGAACAAAGTTTGAGGACTCACATTTTTGGATCCTACTATGAAACTATAGTGATCAAAACAGTGTGACACTAGCATAGGATACATATGTAGATCAGTGGAATAAGATAGAGAGTCTGAAATAAACCCATATTATCTCTGGCCAATTGAGTTTTGAAAAAAGTGCCAAGCATTCATTCATAAAGGGAAAGAATTGTCTCTTCAACAAATGATGCTGGGACAATTAGATGTCTACATGCAAAGAATGAAGTTGGTCCCTACACATCATGCCATATATAAAAAAATTAACTCAAAATGTACCAGTGACCTAAATGTAAAACTCCTAGAAGAAAAATCTATGAGTAAATTTTCATGTCCTAGGATTTGGCAATGGATTCTTTTTAATTTTTTTTTTTTTTAAATTCTCATCTAAGGATATTACTCCATTAATTTTAGAGAGAGTGGAAGAGAGGGAAAGACAGAGAGAAACATCGATTGGTTGCCTCCTGCACTCACCCTGATGAGGGCCCGGGCCAGGGAGGAGCCTGCAACCAAGGTACGTGCCCTTGACTGGAAATGAACCCAGGACCCTTCAGTCCACAGGCCGGCGCTCTATCCACTGAGCCAAAACAGCTAGGGCAGATTCTTAAACATGACACCAAAACACGAGCAACAACAACAGCAACAGATATTGGAACTCATCAAAATTAGAAACTTATGTGTTTCAAAGGGCATTATCAAGAAAGTGATTAAGACACAGAATGGGAGAAAATATTTGCAAATCATATAGCTGATGAGTCTATTACCTAAAATGTATAAAGAACTCTTGCAATACATCAACAATAAAATAAAAACCCAAGTCAAAAATGGGCAAAGAACTTAAATAGACATGGGGGAGGGGGAGACATACAAATTGCCAACAAGCACAGGCAAAGATGCTCAACCATTAGTCACTAGGAAAATGCAAATAAAAATCACAATGAGTTACCACTTCATATAGGCTAGGATAGAAAATTTTTAAAAAAAGGACAGTAACAAGGATATGGAGAAACTGAAACTCCCATGCATTGCTAGTGGCAATGTAAATAGTGCACCTGCTGTGGGAAACAGTTTTGTGGTTCCCTAAAATGTTGAAGACCGAATGACTCCAATTCTATTCCTACGCATACATATACCCAAGAGAAATAAAAACTTGTACACTAGTGTTTATAGCCATAAAGATAGAATTGGCCAAAAGAAAGAAACAACCCAAATGTACAAGAGATGAATGGACAAACTGTTGCATATCCACACAATGAACAATTTAGCCATAAAAAAGAATGAAGTATTGATACATGCTAAAATGTGGATGAATCTCAAAATCATTATGGTAAGTGAAAAAACCAAACACAACTGTATGAGGTATCCAGTATAGGCAAATCCATACAGACAGAAAGCAGGTTGGTGGGGTTGCCAGGGGCTTGAAGGAGAGCGTATAGGGTATGACTGGTTAATAGGTATGAGGTTCTCTTTTGATGTAATGAAATGTGCAATGTTATGGACTATAAAATGGTTCTTTTAATGTTCTGTAAATTTATCAATGAAAAAATATCTGCAGATAAACCACTTTTCAAGCAACTTTAAAGAAAATCTCTTCTACACAGAAAAATATTACATCAAGTGCTGAATTCCACTCACAGAACAAATATTTATAAACTTAAAAGATAATATTAGTTAAGAAATTAGAACTTTGGGAAGAAAACAGACTCTCAAACAAATAATTACATTCTCAAAGTTCTAAGAATTCCATGTATTTATACACTGAAGGCAATGAAAAAATTAAAAAATAAAAGCTTTCATTAGCATTCTGATATGGTAGTTTTAAAACAAGGATGGGCAGTGTTAAAAAATGAATGTTAAAAAAGATAGATGTGCTTTATGTACTATCCTCATCAATAAGAGACTTTTGGAAGAATGCATAGTAATACTGCATCTTTCCAGTGGCATATATCAGCAAGTTTTACTACCACCATGAGGATAACGAAATAGGACCAGTCTATTATGGAATATGAGAGAAAAATCTGAGATTCTAGAGACCAGACCGTTCATATTTTTAGCAAGAATAAAGAAAGAACTAAAACCTTTCTCATCATCTTACATTGTATCTAGTTGTTTGCTTCTTAAAATGCAGCAAATGTAGCTCCATTTTTACAAAAAATGATTTTGCCCAAATGGCTGAAAGGCGGTTTGGGATAGTACAGAATCTGTACTTTCCAGTGGTGGGTCTTTCTTGCTCTGATTCTTAAGAAAGAATTCCAATGCCCAGATAAGCAGAGAAATTTGGGCTGGAAAGTTACAGAACAGACCCGAATCTCTGATCCTCTCTCTGCCCTAATGACCCCTCACGGCATCTAGCAAACCACTGGTTGTATAGACACTGGAATCACCGGAATGATCCCCCTTCCCTCCCCCTCCCCCCCCCCACCGCCCCATATATGGAGAAAAGTACAATTGTGAGGAAGGGAAATGAACAGAGTTAATCTACTCTACCAACCCAATCTCTTTCTAAAAGACTGTCCTCTATGGTTGCTTGCCACCCAACAACAGCTGCTCATGATAATCAATGTCTGACAGATCAGAGAAAGCCCTTAATGTGTCACCAAGGGGCAGTTCAACAGATGGCATGGTGACTTACAACCAGAATCATTAATTACACACTCTTATTAGTCCCAGGGGCAGAGTGCTGAAAATGCTTTTTCAGTGAAAGACGAGCATTTCAGATAAATGACCGTCTGGTACTGCCTGCGAAGCTCCCTTTAGGACTTTTGGTCAGTGTTGATTTTTAAATCTAAGCCATACTATTTTTACAGCCGTTTCCCATCTTCCACTTTCAGGCTGGCTAGGAATATGAAGTTCCCAGTACCACCTCTCATCATCACTCCATAATCACTGCAGGTAAGCATCTGATTAAAAGTGCCCATCATTCATTTCCCCCCTCAAGTCAGGTGACTGTGTTCAAAGGCAAATACAATTTCAGCCACAGGACTAGCTCAATTTTCCCTCCCTTGGTACCAGAGAATAGTGTTTGCCGAGTGCAGGGTGGGGCATGGGGACTATCCCCTCCCTCCCTTATCTACTCTCACATTTCTTGTAATATGGGATTGATTCTCCAACTCAGTGGTTCTCAACCTTCTGGCCCTTTAATACAGTTCCTCATGTTGTGACCCAACCATAAAATTATTTTCGTTGCTACTTCATAACTGTAATGTTGCTACTGTTATGAATCATAATGTAAATATCTGATATGCAGGATGGTCTTAGGCGACCCCTGTGAAAGGGTCGTTCGACCGCCAAAGGGGTTGCGACCCACAGGTTGAGAAGCGCCGCTCCAACTCAAAACTGTCCTCCTTTCCCAAGCCACTGGCTGCAATGTCTCCATGTCTCTTCAAAAAAAAGAGAGGCAGACACTACTGAAAAGGAAGCCTCGGGCAAGCAAACATTCCCAAATGTCCACACTGGTGGCTGTGTTATCCCAAGGGACTAAGCACCACATTCGTAATTAAGAAGCCAAACAAATGCATGGTGAAGAACTAGTTCTTAAGCCCCTCCCCAAAGGCATTCAAACTAATGCCAACTCGGGATAAAAAGTAGTTCCTTCTAACAGTTTGAGAACTGAGCTCCATAAACATGACTGGAACTTCAGAACTGACTGCAGACAGAGCTTGGAGGCAGACTACTTATTGGCTTTAGCATGATACAAGTCAGAAATAAATCTCAATATAACCCAAAAGAAAAACTTTAAGCATTTCCAAAATACCACCAAATAAAGTCTTTGATGTAGCTGACTCCTTTTTGTACCTCAATCTACAATTTTTAAAAAATGTGAGTTCAAACTAAAATAACATTAAGATCCTAAATGTTGTGATTTAAGAATTCATCGTGTGTTTGCTACATTCCTATTTGTTCTTTCTTGGATATATAAAAATGTGATTTCAATTTTCAATTAGGTTCAAATAATTGCAATACCTGAAAGATGTTCTCATCTCATGCTTTTTTATACGACAAAATGAAAACAAAAGTGCTAATGAAGGCATCATGAAAACCTCCTAAAGTGGGCTACAGGAAAGGAAACTTGGGAAGTCTAGGTCTGCCTTGCAATGTACTCACTTCTAGTTTTTTCTCCTTTTCTGACAAAACATCTTTCTGGTTCTGGGTGTACTCCACCAACATCCGAGCCAGCTGGCGCCGGTCTTCCAGTTCCGCCGCCAGGCGCCCGTTATATTCTGCTAGTAACAGACATGCTTCATCTACTGTTTTTGAAAGACGTTCAGCTGCCTCTTTGTCTAAGTACAAATAAGACCAAAAAATAGAGACAATATACAAATCACATAGGCACCATTGCAAACATTTCTAGGGGAGGTTAACAGTTTCTCTCCAAAAGTACAGAGTCCAAGCATAAGCCAGAATCTGTGGATAAAAAAATGGAATGGCTGATGGAGAAACCCAAAGGCACTCACTCCTGTCAACAAGACAGGACACTTCTGAATTACTTGAAGTGAGGCAATTGTACAAGGAGGGGAATCTGGCAAAAAAACATTTCTAAGTGTCTACTCCTGCAAAAGCTCTACAAATAAAATAAACAGAAAGAAATATTTAATGTCATACATGAAATAATTTTTCCAAGTCTCTGAGAATTCAAAATGACTTTCAAATTATTTTGTGAAGTATGCTTTGAACAGTCCTCTGAAATACAAAATACAAGCACTATAAGGCACTGTATGCAATACAAAAGCTAGCACTCACTACTTGGGTGTGGAAATTGTAAGAAAAAATAAAACACTACGTAACAGGTGTGATATCAACTCAGCTAAGGAATTGGGACTCAAAACCAGGTCTCTAAAACGGACCTACAGGACTCTACATCTTAAACTATACAAGCCTTGAAACTGGGTCTGAGTTTTCTTCTTCCATTCAGCAAAATATCAGGTCTGATAAAACAGAGGCTTTCAAATGCTTTTGAGCATGACCCACAGTAAGCAATATACTTTATATAAACATATAAAAATAAAAGAAACAAAAGTTTCATAAAACAATACTTATCCTTACTATGTGCAAAGTGCTTTATCTTCTATTCTATTAAAAAATAAATGCTAGTCATTACCTACCAGACTGAATTCATGTCCAATTAATGGGTTGCAACTCATTGTTTGGAAAAAACTGTGATGAAGTATCAAAGTATAAGAAAGGTTATTCTTAGAAATGATGAAAATGCTTCAACATTAGGAAATGAGAGGAAAAGACAAAGGATGATTTATATTTAAAAGAACAAATAAAATTAACTACACATGGGTAGTGGTGAGATTAGACCTTCAAATATGTATATCTCATTTTTAAAAGGCCTTTGAAGATCAAAAGAGTAGATGGGTATTTTGAAGCAAAGAGCACTAAGAACTCAAGTTCTATGAGACTAAAAGTGAGCTGGACTTTATTACAAGTTATCAGAGGTGAGAGACCTCAGCATACTCATAGGTAATTGGGAATTAAGAATTCCCAACAGTTTCTCTGGCAAACTGCTCTTTGGCTTTTAGGTGCCTTCCTTTTTTGTTGTTGTTAATCCTCATCTGAGGATATTTTTTCCATTGATTTTGAGAGAGAGTGGAAGGGAGGGAGAGTAAGAGAGAAGGATGGGGGGGGGGGGAAGGAGGGGAAGGGAGAGGGAGAGAGAGACAGACAGACAGACACACATCGATTGGTTGCCTCCAGCATGCACCCTGACCAGGGCCAGGGATCAAACCTGCATCCCAGGTACATGCCCTTGACCAGAAATCGAACCTTGATCCTTGGGTGTGCAGGTCAATGCACTAACCACTGAACAGCACCAGCCAGGGCATAGGTGCCTTCTTAAAATGAATATTGGGAGATGAACAGTTGAGTGATTCCGAATTAATTCTGATGCCAATGATCAGGCACTTCTATCCCCTCAGGGATAGGAAAACAAAAAGATGTTCTTGGTGAAGGAGGAGTGAGCCAGACAGAACACAAAGGAGGGACAATCTCAGTCATAGAGGGTAAAGAGGACAGTGAAACTTATTCTTCTGTATTCGTGGCTGAGTCTGAGAATAAGCTACTGGGGTAGTTAGACTGCTTTTGCCTTTGTTTAACTATATGGTTTTTATAAAATGGTTAATTCATTAAGATGTTTAAGCACTCTATGGCAAAATATGACACAAAAAACACAACTATTTAAGATTTTTAAAATATCGCCAAAACCGGTTTGGCTCGGTGGATGGAGCGTCGGCCTGCGGACTGAAAGGTCCCAGGTTCGATTCCGGTCAAGGGCATGTGCCTGGGTTGCGGGCACGTCCCCAGTGGGAGATGTGCAGGAGGCAGCTGATCGATGTTTCTCTCTCATCGAAATGGTTAATTCATTAAGATGTTTAAGCACTCTATGGCAAAATATGACACAAAAAACACAACTATTTAAGATTTTTAAAATATCAATTCTCACTCTCTAAGAATTTGGTACAAGGGAGATAATTCATTCACACAAATAATTACAACCCGGAAAAATAACTTGTAATAGTTTTATACGCTATAGAAAACAATGCAGCGAGATGGTCACTCCATAGTACCTACCTGTGGTGGTCCTCAGGTGCTCTGCCCTCCCTGTTACACAGATGAAAGGCTGTGTGGCTTTCAGCCAGCCTCCACTTGTGTACGAGCATCACATTCCCTCTTGCTTCCTCCAAGACTGTTTCTGCATAGGTCCCATTTCCCCATGCCGCACCGATTTCTCTCTTCCTCTCCTGAAGCACCACCAGCAGCACACAAACACGCTACTCTACCTTTGGCCTGCATTTCACTCTCCAATTACTGGTCCATTTCCCTGCACCCTTTACAGCACTCCTCAAGGGAGCTGCCTGTACTCCTGGTACCCAACTTTTCTTCTCCCACGGTCAAAAAATCCATTCCAATTAGACTTTTATACCTATCAATCCTCTGTTCAAAACCTTCCAATTAGCTTAGCAAATATTTGGGCTCCTATTGCGTGCCCAGCACCGTTCTAGGCTCTGAGACAAACTGAACTTGGGGGGCAAAGACAAAACCTCTGTGCCTCCCAAGTTCACATTCTCAGGTAGAAAGAGAAAGGGTACACTATATTTTACTTATTTATCAATTGAAGATAAGAAGTCTGGAGAAAAATTAGGCAGAAGAGAAAGAACAAGGCATTGGAAGGGAGAATTGTAATTTTAAATAGGTGGTCTGGGTAGACTTCACCAAGATGATATGTAAACCAAGGCCTAAAGGAAGTTACAGAACTATCTGGGGAAGACCATTCTAAACAAAGGAAACAGCAAGAACAAAGACCCTAGGAGGGGAGAGTGACTGGCAGGAAGTCCATATGACTGGAGCAACGAGCAAGGAGAAAGTAGTGAAAGTCTATGTGGTAATAGGGGCCAAACTGTGGACGCCGCTGAAAGACTGGTTTTTACTCTAGGGGGCTGGGGGAACACAGGGAGACTTGATCTAACTCCCATTTTAACAGATCGTTCCGATTACTGTGTTGAGAAAAGAATGATGGTTGCGGATGGGGGACAAGGAGGAAGCAGAGAGACCAGATAGGAGGAGATTGCTAATTCAAATGAAGATGGTGGTGACTCCCACCAGGTAGTGGCAGTGGAGGTGGTGACAAGGTGTCAGATACTGGTTGTGGTCCCAATCAACAGACTAATGAGGGAGCCATTTACTAAGATGGGGAAGACCGTGAGAGAAACAAGGTTTGGAGGGAATATCAGAGGTTTGGTTTGGGGCAGGTTAAGTTTGAAATATCTATCGAGATAGCCAACTAGTAATACTGAATAGGAGGTTGGATGTCTAGGTCTCAAGGTCAAGAGGTTAACACTAGAGAGATAAATTAGGGATCACTAGCAAACAAAACAAAACAAAAACCTGTTAAAGTAACCAGACTGGATGAGCTGAATTGTCAGTGAACCCAAGAGAAGAGGGCTAAGTACTTATATTAAGAGGTCAAAGAGAAGTGAAGAAACCAGCAAAGGAAACGGAAAAGATACAGCCAGAGAGAGAAGAGGAAACCTAGGGAAATACAGGTCCTCGTTTGCTACTGCTGCTGTAACAAATCACCACAAACTTAGTGGCTTAAAACAACACAAACAGATTATCTTAGTATTTATTATTGTGGACCCTTCTTCCATCTTCAAGTGTATCACCCTGACTTCTGCTGTTACAATCCTATCTCCTTCTGACTCTTGCCCTCCTACCTCCTTCTTATGACCACGTGATTACATCAGACCCACCTGAATAGTCCAGGACAATGTTCCCATCTCAAGATCCTTAATTTAATCACATTTCAAAGTCCCTCCTGCCATGTAAGATAATATGTTCATAGGTTCCAGGATTTAGGACATAGACATTTTAAGGGGATCATACCACACCAAGTGAGAAATTATTTTCAGGAAAGAGACACAATCAACTGGGCCAAATGTTACTGAGGTTAAGATGATCTCAAGTTAAGATTGGACAAAATATTCACCACTGAATCTGGGCAAAATATTCACCACTGAATTTAGCAACAGAGAGGTCATCAGCAATATTGATGAGAAGTTTCAATAAAGTAGAATCAAAAAAGAATGAGAGAAGGACAAACAGAGCCAGATGAGCATAGGCAATCTAAGCTATTTTGCTATAAAGAACAGAGAAATAAGGTGGTAGCTAGGAGAAGATACAGGTCAAGAAAAATTTTCCCACATGGAAAAAAACATGTTTTTATGCTGTGAAGAATGATCCAGTAGAGGGAAAAAATTGGAAGATCCAAGAGAAAAGGAGAGTTCTGTTGGAGCAATGTCCTTGAGTAGGTGAGAAGGAACAGTTCTAACAAACAAGTAGAGGGACTGGTTTGGAAAACAGCATGTCATCCACAAAAGAGGAAGAAAAGTCAGCCAATGTGTGTTTTGTTTTCCTCAGACTCATACAGCTGTGCAGATCCAAGATAAAAATAGGTGAAAAGCTGGATTTAAGAATGGTGGATGCCAGGGGGTGGGGGTGGAAGTGGGAGTGGGGGTGGGAGGAGTGAGGAGAGGATGGGATGGTAAGCTGTTATTTAATGGGTATAGAGTTTCAGTTTTATAAGATAAAAAGAGTTCTGATATTTGGTTGCACAACAATGTAAATGTACTTAATACTTCTGAACTGTACTCTTAAGATTATAAAGATCCTAAACTAAGTAAAGAAAAAAATGAGGATATAAGGAGAGTGAAGATTGGGAAAAGATGGAAGGATCATGAGACTGTGAAATCTAGCAGGGAGTGAGCTGAAATAATTTTTGTATGATTTAGAAGGCCTCCTTGTTGTGTTCTCAGCTAAGTACATTCCTTCCTGAAGGTTTTTCCATGTACTGTTCCCTCTGCCTGGCAGCATGTCTTCCCCTCAGATAACTTCATGGCCTGCTTCCTAACTTGGGGGACCTCTGATTGGAAATCATCTCACCAGAAAGGCCTTCCCTGATCACTTTAAAAGTAGTACCTCCTTCAATTATCTCCACCATCACACCCCTGCTTTATTTTCCTTTTTGGCACTTACGCCATGAGGAGATGTGGTAGTACACCAAGAGTATCTGCTACACACTGTGCCTCAAATATTTGTTGAATGAAGGAAATGTTTCATGAGCCACCTTGATTTCCTTTAAATGGATATGGAGGAAGTTAATGAAGCAGCCAAGTCAAGGAACTGGAATGGAAAAAACAGTGGCCCTCAGAAGAGAGCGGAATGAAAGGTCTGAGCTTTTCTAATGGAAAGAAAATAGGCTTTGCAGCCCAGCTTGAAAACCCAAGATCTTGGGCAAGACCCCTAACATCTCAAAGCCTGAATTTCCTCCTATGTAATATGAGGATTTATATTCAGTTGTCTCAAAAGATTAATAACACGAAGAGTAAGAAGTATATGGCACAGAGCATGTTCTATAAATATTAGTTCATGCTTCTTTCCTTCCCTTCAATTTCTCATGCATAAAGGGAGATTAATGTCAACTGTCCCTCCCTGTTTAATTGGGGGTGATCATCAATAGGGCAAACTGACACAAATAACAACACACATCTAGAGTTCTTGGCATTGAAGGCACTATCGTCTATGGGGAGTGTCAGTGTGCAATGTATAAATCACACAGCACTGAAATATATATTTTTTAAATAAGAGAGTCATGAATTTAATGCCTTCCCCCCTCAGTCCCCAGCCCACACAATTTTCACTGTGTTTTCAACAGATCTTACTTACAATGCCACAAGATGTATGGCATGCCAGCATATTTGCAATAATTCCTAGAATCTCTATTCAAGCTTGGACTATTCCAGCAGCTTCATTGTTTGGCATGTCAGTTATGTTTCTACATCCCAGGATGGCAGAGCACCTAATACCAAATGGAGAGTCTACACCTGCAGACATAAATATGCCATTGAGTTTGATGAATTAGATATGGCCTTCTTCCCTCATCTTTCAACCAAATTCTTCCTTCTCACCTGTTATTTTTTCCAACAGAGAAACATCTTGCACTTCCTGGGGCAAAGAAGCAATTTTCTGTCGGACAGTAGCATCCCCTGATGCAGCATTTTCCAGGTCCTGCAAAGCTTTGATTAGTTCCTCAGTCTATACAATAAAACACAAACAACACTATCCGTTAACACATGGGGTATAAAAATAATTAGTTGGAGTTAAATGAGGTGGAGGCAAATTCTAAAAATGATCATGTCTGCCCATGGCAGAACATGAGTAAAATTCTAGATAATTCTATATCCTTTCACAAAAATCTATTTTTAAAGAATATTCTCAATTTCTAGGAGTGAAAAAATGCCAAATCCAAGTACACTTTAAAATATAAATCCATGCCAAAGTCCTGCCACGCAGACAAAGTCAAGCCGGCTGTCTTGCAAGCTTCACTGGGTGGATTTTGTACCCAGTGCCCTGAGAACTACCCTTTGGTGATTCCATAGTATTGGTCACCTGCGCCACCTTGTGGTCATAATCTCCAACTAGAGGTCACTTCACCAAGTCACTCTGCCCTATCCTCTGGGGATGAAGACATACCAAGAGGGGTCCTGCAGAAGGATCTTGGGGAGAGTAGCTTCCAGGGTAGTCATCATCCTCCTCCTCTTGTATCTGTTGAAAAGTTCGCTTCAGAGATTTCTTCTCCTCTGTTGCTACAGGAAAGAAAGAAGTGACAAATGTGAGTCACCAAAGCCTGCAAAGGTAAGAGTTAAATGTTATGCACAATGGGTCACATGTAAAAGGGGCAGGAGGGGTCATTTTCAGAGACAGCTTAGCATTAACCTCTTGTGAGTTATTTTAAATTGGTGGTAGTTCTACTTTACTGAATAGAGTCAAAATGGACTTAGTCTATCATCTCAGATTGACTCACTGGAAAACTACTACTCAAAACAAACATCTAAAATCATGTGAAACTTACTAAACTAACACATTTCATTTCAAAACTCATTATCTTAAAAAACAAAGTTAACAGAAGTAAAATGGTAAGAAATCCATCAAACAATATAATGAAGCAAGCCGATGTGTACAGGAGTTTATAGAGAATATGCTGCATATAAAATAAGATTTGTTATGCTTTCTGGGATAAGTTCAGAAAATAAATAGTAGAGAGAAACCCATCAAAATTGTGTCAAAACTTCTAAACACAAATATCCTTAATCCTTTTAAAAACAAAACAATCCTATCTTAAAAATAACTATGAGAAATATGATTGACATTACTGGGAAAAATTACTTAAGTTTCCATATTAAAATTAACCACTTTTGAAGCTAACAGTTTACATTTTTAATTATCTGTACTGTGTGCTTTTGTCTTGTTATATGTATTAATTCCAAGATCATTCATTTTGCGCCGAATTGTACAATACAAAATAAATGCCAAACAATTATGGGACATGTTTGGAAAGTAAAGAAACTATTGGATGCCCTGCCAGTGTGGCTCAGTGGTTGAGCGTCAACCTATGAACCAGGAGGTCACAGTTTGATTCCCGGTCAGGGAACATACCCGGGTTGCGGGCTCGATCCCCAGGAAGGGGTGTGTAGGAAGGGGTGTGTAGGAGGAAGCCAATCAATGATTCTCTCTCATCATTGATGTTTCTATCTCTCTCCCTTTCTCTGAAATCAATAAAATAAAACTATTGAACTCCTAATATGTGCCAGGCATTGTAATAGTTACTTTACATTTAATCTTTCCAACAATTCTAAGATGTAATATTTCCATTTTACAGGTGAGAAAATGAAGACTCAGAGAGATTAAGTAACACTTTTAAAGGTATGAGTACAAAATCTGTGCTCTTTTCAAGGCAGTCACACAATTATCCTCTCATCTATTAAATGAGGGGTCACCATGCACCTGCCTCAGAACTCTGTAAATTATAAACAGAACATATTCTTCTTGCTTAATTGAACATTTTCTTCTAGAATCAAGGATGTAGTTCCTGTTTTCTACCTTACACATTAATTGGCCAAGCTATGTTTGATACGAAAGCCAAGTTAATAACATGAACTTTACTTTTCTTAATGTTTTTATCTGTTGTACTAAAAAAAGAAACATCTGCAATACAGGCAGTCCTCACTTTGCACAATTCTAGTATGCACAGATTTATTATCATGGTTTAAACAACGCAAGTTCCTCAACAACATGGTCCAAATTTCATCTACCATGGCCTATTAACTATGAGTAACTGCATAAAGAGCAAGCTTCACTACTAACTGCAGTCCACAAATCACTAAGTAAATAACAGAAGTGCATCATGATCAGTGACCATATCACTTCTTCAAGGTCAGTGACTGGTCACTGCACATCTGTTATTCAGTTCAGACACAGACAGTAGATTGTTATGTGATCCCCCAATGATAAAATCCATAAGACATTTCATAAAAATGAATAATCAAAACAGAGAACTGACTGACAATGATGAAAGAGCAGCAAAGAAATTAAAACTAATACTATATAAGTGCAATCTGAAGGGACCGTCAATGGAGCTATAGCAGAAACAGCTAGCTGTAGGAATGTTGGCGCTGCCACAGGCATCTAGAGACTCTGGATTCAAAGCCAGAGGAACTTAGTGAGCCAACTTATCAAATCAATGAAGAAAGTGGTTGTGATGAAAATGACAATGTCCCAGGGGAAGTGATGCTGACAAAGAACTTCATATTAAAGGAACTCTCAGAGATATTTTCATGACATTGAAAACAAAGAATAAAATGTTGGAAGCTGAACCAAACTTAGGAGTATGACAATTCATTAAGACAGAAAAGATACTTGTTCTGTATCATAAACTGTACAAGTAAGCAAGCTCTATTTGAATCACTTGTTACAAGCTTGTTACAAAGAAATAAAACACTTTAATTCTCAATGCTTCCAATTTTTTGTTATAGCATGCTAAATATTAATTTTACTATCTATTGCTTCCATATACAATTTTAATCAACAGTGAGATTTTAATTCTTTAACAAAAAAATCTTACATATGTAATACTCTTTGTAATACTTTAAGCAATAAAACAAAATTTTTTAAAAATCTTAAAAGTTACAGAACAATCCTAACTTTATTGATTATTAAAATCACTTTGCATGATTTCAGCTTACATGGTCACTTTTAAACTGCTGCACTACTATGCAATGCAAGGACTGCTGTATTTTTAAAACAGAAAATCTTTTAGGATATACTTTGCACTGAAATATCTAGCAGTAATTTGCACATAGTAGCTATCTAATTAATGGATAGTGTGTGGTATGACCCACATAGAGATTTAAGCACTACACTTAGAATTTAAGCATAACAGCAAAAAAAGGGAAAACTTGTATTATTTTGTTCACTTCCAAATACCTAGAAGAGTGCTCAATAAATAATTGTTAAATATAGTAACTAAAGTAAAAATAATTATAAAACTTGAATCCTTCAGTTTTCAAACTCTCATACAAAAATTTCTATAATAATAAAAGCATAATATGCTAATTAGACTGGACATCCTTCCAGATGAAGCCGGGGCTGCGAGGGAAGCCCAGGTCCCAGGTGTCTGCTGGCAGCCGGAGGGAAGTCTGGGTTTCGGGTGCCAGAGGGAAGCTGGTGCCAGCAGCCGCAGGAAGGAAGGCCTACTCTTGCATGAATTTTGTGCATAGGGCCTCTAGTTTATATATAAAAACCACACATCACTAAATACTTCAGGACACTCAGAATCACTGAATTGAGCATTGGCAGGCTTTCGATCAGGGGTGGGGAAGCTTTTTTCTGCCAGGGGCCATTTGGATATTTAAAAGATTACTAGAGGCCCAGTGCACAAATTCATGCATAGGTGGGGTCCCTCTGGGTAGCCTACGGGGATTGGGCAGAAACCCACAGTCCAACGCCACCTGCAGCTCCTACCTGCTGCTCCCACTCATCTTGGCCCCACTGTGCCTGGTGCAGGCTTGCGCCCAAACAGTCCCTACCAGGAGAGGCTCGCACCACCGCTGCAGCACTCACCAGCCGTGAGCCCTGTGTCTGGCGCCCTCCTGAGGGGAGTGGCCTGTGGGATTGGACTCTCCAACATTCCATAAGGTGTCCCAGATTGCAAGAGGGTGCAGGCCAGACCGAGGGACCCCACCGGTGCACAATCGGGGCTGGGGAAGGACCGCAAGAGGGCTCCAGGGTGTGTCCGGCCCATCTCGCTCAGTCCCAATTGGCTGGACCCCAGCAGCAAGCTAACCTACCAGTCGGAGTGTCTGCCCCCTGGTGGTCAGTGTACGTCACAGCGACTGGTTGACTGGTCAACTGTCTGCCCCCAGTGGTCAGTGCACGTCATAGCGAGCGGCTGAGCGGCCTTAGCATATCATTAGCATATTACACTTTGATTGGTTGAACAGTTGACCAGACACTTAGCATATTAGGCTCTTATTATATAGAATTTGAGGGCCATACAAAATTATCAACTTAAAAATTAGCCTGCCTGCCCAGCTGGCATGGCTCAGTGGTTGAGCATCGACCTATGAACCAGGAGATCATGGTTTGATTCCTGGTGAGGGTACATGTCCGGGTTGCGGGCTCGATCCCCAGTTTGGGGTGTGCAGGAGGCAGCAGTTGATCAATGATTCTCTCTCCTTTTCCCTTCCTCTCTGAAAGCAATAAAAACATTTAATTAACTCACCCTTACTGCCTTGACAGGACCAGACCAAATGATTTCTCAGGCCTTATAGAGCCCTAGGGTCAGACATTCCCTACCCCTGCCTTAGATAAACCCATGTCTTTACTTTCCCCATCTTATTTTTCATGAGATTATCAAGGCCCACAGGCTGTGGTTTGTCCAAATGTCCAAAGTCAGAGAGCTCATTGGTCTGGGTCCTACAGCCAAGTCATTTGCCTCCTAATTTGGAGCTCCTTTAAAAGAAAAATTAATTAATCTAATTCTCACTTGAGGACATGCTTAGAGAGAGGAAGGAAGGGAGAGAGAAACATCAATGTGACAGAGAAACATCGACTGATTGCCCTCTGCACGTGCCCCAACCTGTTATTGAACCTGCAGCCCAAGTATGTGCCCTAACCAGGAATCGAACTGGCAAACTTTCAGTTCACAGGATGATACTCTACCAACTGAGCCACTCTTGCTAGGCTGGGGCTCCTTTTACCACTTTATGCGGCCACTCACTCACAGACTGAAATCAAACTAATGCAAATAATTTTAGGACCATTTCTGTCCTTTGCCATTCTGATGGAAGAGGGTGCAGTAATAGGAGGTAACAATTATCATCCTACTTTTCCAGTTCTCACCTATCTCCACTTGGAGGACCTACTGGAAATGAATTATTCATCATTTCCCCCATAGGATTCCTCTTTTCCTGAGTTACTTATTTCTATTATGAACACTTCCACTGGCCTCATCTTCCAAGTACAACACCTTGGAACCACCAGAATCTCTCCCAAAGTCCCAACTTTTAGCAGATCCCACAGCTCTGAGGGGTATCTTACATATCTCCTCTGCTCCTTCCCATAGCTTCTTACCAGCAATCTGCCTCATACCAGGTCTTGTCCAGACCGCTATCCCAACTGGTCTCCCTAACTCTAGCAGCACTTTGTCCAACTTAGACTATACTCTTATGTTAAACTAGAGGCCCAGTGCACGAAATTCATGCACTGGAGGGGAGGGGGTCCCTCAGCCCAGCCTGTGCCCTCTCACAGTCCGGGAGCCCCGCGATCAATCGCCCCCGCAGAGGGAGGCCCTGCCCACCCGCTGCAGCCCAGCCCGTCCGTGGCCTAGGCCTCCCTCTTTGGGGTGATCGTGGAGCCGCCCCCGATTGATCACCCCACCGGCCGATGGCCTGGGCCTCCCTCTGTAGGCGATCATGGGGCAATGGCCAGGCCCCCGACCAATCACATGGCACCCACCTTGGCTGGCCTGGCGCCAGTGGGTGTTATAGCGTGGTCGTCCGGATGGTTGTCCCACTGTTCAGCCATTCGGTCAATTTGCATATTGCACTTTTATTATTATAGATTAACATTCCTAAAGCTGAGCTTTCACCCCATCATGCCTCTATTGAAAAACCTGAAATGGCTGGCTACCTAAGTGCAAAGCTTCCTTACTCATGGTAACGGTAATATCACTTTAAGTACTCCCTCTCTCTCTCTCTCTCTCTCTCTCTCTCTCTCTCTCAGGCATCATCTCCCTCTAACTCCCACAGCACTTGGCCACTGCTACTTTTCATGGCCACTGGCAGACACTGACCTTACCTCTGATAGAAACATTAAGTGTCTTATTATTTTCCATACCTATAATACCTAGGCAAGTGTCAACACACTGAGCTTGAAGCTTGCTGAAGGCAGAGGACACACAGAGCTCAGAAAACGCTAGTGGAGTGCCAGAAATTACTATCACTGTGTTCCTCTACACAAACAGGACAGCCTGCTTTGGTAACTACCCTGACTCATCTATACAAAGTTAGCAATCATAATGCCCAGTATTCTCAATCTAGTCAGACAACCATTAAAAATAACCTAGGAAATCTGTCAATCCCCTTCCTACATCTAAATCTAGGATAAGGCACCTTTCCCCTATCAATTTGGCTTCTGATCACAGTTTTTATACTCCCTTTTTATTCACTCAAACACTGTTACAGGCAAGGCAAATAGACACTACAAGTGACCCAAATCCTTCTGCCTTCATACTGCACGCCTTCTCTTTTATCCTCCAACCTGTCCCTCTGTCTCCAGGGGAACTTGTACTCAGCTAACTTTCAAGTAATCCTGGTTACCTAAGTGTTTATGATATGCCTCTTGGAGACCTGCATTTTGGTAGATTTTTAGACATTATGGCAGACCATGACACTAATTTTAAGTCAAAAAGTTAGCATGAAGATTCTCAAATCACATCACAATATGTAGTCATCTGCCTAAAAACCTGGATCTCCTAAAGAATGCACTTGAAATTTTCTGGGGCAAAGAAAAACCCACAAATTTTGTATTTCTTTTATAATGAGAAAAGAACCAGGAAATATTGTTTACAACAGCTTCCTCATTCTTTGTTCCCTCCTTGCAAAATACAGAAAAAAAATCTGCAACAAACAAAGGGCTGACATTTCAGGCAGTTCTGAAAGCACTTTACCCCGATCGTCTCACTGAACTGAGCAGCCAGGTCCAGATTTAAACACGGGAAAGCTGGGCCTAGGACTTGTGCTCTTAACCACTATGCTTTCAGATAGTCTTGCACAAAATCTGAAAAACTAAAAATACTAATTAAGTCTCCTATTTTTGCTACAGTTCATACATTATTTAGAAACTCAGAATATTAGATTACTAGAGGCCACGTGCACAAAATTCATGCACTGGTCGGGTCCCTAGCGGCTGCTGGCTGCTAGCCGGGGCCTCCCTCCCTTCCCCTGGCCACCTGCCACTGCCAGCAGGGGCTCTCCCTCCCTCCCCCCCCCCCCCCTCCCCCCCCCCCCCCCGCCAGCCCCAGCCCCCACCCCCTGGTCGAACTCCCAGACAACTCCAAGTTGAGGGGACAATTTGCATACTACGCTTTTATTATATAGGATTAGGATGGGGGGGACAAATAAAAGCTATTATCATCACTTGATTAATAACATCTTATCTACATTATCTCAATTAATGCGCACAACAACCCTGTAAGGTATTACTATTAACAGTCATTAAAGTACAATGAAGAATCTGCTTTTCCTTTCTAAATCCTTCTACAACTATACAATACTGTGTGGTTCATATATGACCCATTCAGTCATGCAAAGGCGTGAGTATTCCCAAAAAGAGAGGCAACCTTAGAACACCTGGGTCTTGCCCATGGGGAGACTGGTACATAACTCAAGAAATCTCTAGTTCTAAAATAAAATTCCTAATCTCATGCATTCTCCAATGTTAGAACTATCAATGTTCCACAGAAAAAATTTTATTTCAAAGATAAATTCTAAAGGTGTCTAAAAATAAAGAATTGCCCATGAATTAAAGCTGAAATATAAAAAGACTATTTAAATTTAAAAACAAACTACTGGAGAAAGCATCCATATTTTGAAAGGATTGTGGTAAAATATTCTGATAACTCAGGTCCAAAGAAGACAGTGAGAAGACAGAGTGGTTGACTGGGACTAATACACATGTTGGAACCTTCGTCTTTACAGTATAGAGGAGAAATTATCTTTAGATTAGCATTATCCCCACACAGAGGAATACTGCCTCCCTTGTTGTTAATATCCAGATGTTCAAAAAACTGAGAAACCCAATGAAGCTATTTTCAAACATACCAGGGCCACAAATTCCATTTGTCTGGCTGCTCTCTAAGTGCAGAACTATTTCTCACTCTTTTCTCCTTCCTATAGCATAGCTGTTTACTCAAAGCACATGTCTGGCAAGTGCTTGTTGACTTGAAATTCAACACTTAGCTTCAAACATTGTATTTCAGAGCTCTTCTACTTGCCCAAAGGTATTTTAAAAAATTTGCACTGTTTGCCAATGAACTCTGAGGCAGAGTAAAGATTGCTAAATAATTCCTCAACACTGTGCAGAATACCACCAAAGGACGGAATACAAACATCACCAGATTCTGAGGTAGGAAGCATCTTCCTTTTTAGAACCTACTCCGCAGAGTGACCCCAAAATTGTTTTTGTTTTATTTTTATCAACTCCAAGTAAAACAACGACTTTCAGTGTGAAAACATTTATATCATTTTTAGGAAGCCTCTAACCTCTGGTTTCACAGGAAAGCTATCCTCCCCTCCCTTAAAATACATATAAACTCAGACCTGGAAGAGATCACAAAAGGTACATAATAACGGGTTGCCGAATGAATGCTATTACCATGGTTGTATTCTACAGCAGAGGCATGTAAGAAGTACCAGAGGAACACAGGAGGAATGACTCTAAGTGCCAGAAGAGCTGGGGAAGATGTCAGGATGAGGGTGGCAATTCTTGAAGAATGAGTTCACCACACAGAGAAAGGGGTAGAAGGACATTTCAGGCAGAGGTAACAACAAATGCAAAGGAAGAGGCACCAGGAGAGCACCCAGAGGGAAAATTGTTTGGTGTGGCCAAAAGAATATGGTATATATAAGGGAATGACAGAAGAATCTGGAAAAGTAAACTAGTTCAGATTCTAAAGGGTCCTAAATAATGTATTAGTACTTGGACTTGATCCTCCAGGCAATGGGTATGTGTACAGATCAGGTCGTAGCTTAGAAACATGTCATGCCAACTAGAGTTAAACAACTAAATAGAAGTCAAAGAACCAAATAATGTTTGTTCTTACTTATCTTTAAAGAAAATAAACATAAGCTCTTAAGGACTTGGCAAAATTCACATACATGTACACACTTCCCAAGGATATCCTGAGTTCAGTAGAGACCAAAATCAATTTTAGACAGAAAGCTGACAATCACCAAAAGTATGGTTCAACCCCACATATTTAATTAAACCAAGTTCTAAAAGGGCTAAGGGACTTATCCACGATCCTATAGTATTTAGTGCCAGAGCTAGGACGGAACCTTCATCCAGGGTACTTCCTAGTTCCCCATAACTCTAAAAAACTTTTGTTCCTTTCCCTGGTGCACAGAAAGTCTCTGAAAGGCAGGAGAGCCAAGGAGGACACAGAGCAAAAGTTAGGGTGTGAGATGAATAGCATGAATACTAGAACCAGGCTTACACGCTGCGAGCACTACATAAATTCTCACCATCATTTATGATCATCTCTTTGAAGAATCATATAATCGCTGGTGGTTCACAGCAACCCCCACTGCAGCTTTTCATATCTGATTCGAAAGTAGGCAAAGACCAAGAGCTGTAAACATGTGGTGATGTTTCTACCTTTGGGGGGAGGGCTCTTGGAGTCCTCCATAGACAGCTTCAGCTGCTGTATGAACTCGCCGCCATACACACTTCTTTCTTGCCAGATGTTCAGCAATCTTTCTAAAGGTTTTTTACAGCCTTCATCTGCCTCTCTGCCCAGAAAAGATGAAAAGATATATATAAGCTTATGATTTTTTATTTTTAATTAAGATAGATGTACTTTTAAAAAAATCAACAACTGACTAAAATATTCACACATTTTAAAACAGAAGGAAGAGTAAGTTATATATTGTGATAAGTGGATACCCAAAACTTGACCAGAAAACTACATTCTTCCTGTGGCAGAATGAGAGAGATTATATGGTAAAAGTAATCTGTGTCTTTTATCCCCTTTGAAAGATGGGCAACTAGGACAAAAAGTCAATGGCTGATTTTTACAGACAGAATTATCAAAATTTGATACTATCAATCAGATTTGTCCGACTGCTGCCTGAGTGCCTAGTATAGCCTCATTACTGGTCTCCCAATCATGACAGCTCGCTTTTTAAGAAGACATTAACTGAAATCTAGTGCCAGGCATTCTACTGGAAACTAAAGGGGACTAAAACTTTTAAGGAAAGAAAATAAAAGATTAAAAAAATAAAAATGTTTAAAATGGGAAATAAATTCACTACTACTCATCAATGCTAACACACCTCTACATGTATAAATACAATCATATACACTGGCCTCAACTTTAAATTAACTGCTTCATAATTATCTTAATTCTGGGCTAGGTCTGTATTCCATGTTCACACAAAGATAATCTTAAAACACACTGAGCATAATACAATTCTTAGTAATTTAGACACTTTTTCCTGACATATTACACTCTTGAAACAGACGGTTTTTCAATGAGGTGGCTGTAACTAACATTCAGTGTGAACCAGTGGCTTACCTAAAATGTGAGACAGCAAGTGGAAGAGTGGGGGAAGACTTTCTGAAAGGAAACAAATTCCCTCATCATCCACCTGTAACTATGAATTTTTCTGGTCTGCAGAGCTGTCTGGATGTTAATGATCTTACACTGAATGACTTCAAACAAGAAGGGATACCCTGACATCTTCATAAATCAGTATATTTAATTTAATAGGAACTTCATCCCAAATCAAGATGAGAATTTCATCCACCCTGAGCCCTGACAGCACTTTTCTCAAACTAATGTTAATACTCATGGTGAAGTAAGCTTTCAGCCTTATCTGGTCAGACTATATTAGTTATGAATTATTAGTGTCAAATTTCACTGAATTGGGGTTAAAATACTAAATCAGGGTACACACAAATTAGTTTGTTGTTGTTGTTAAACCTTTTTCTTTTTTTTTGTTAATCCTTACCCGATGATATTTTCCCATTGATTTAGAGAGAGTGGAAGGGGAGAGACAGAGAGAAACATCCATGTGAGAAAGACACATCGATTGGTTGCCTCCCACACGCAACTTCACAGGGCTGGGGATAGAGCCTGCAACCGAGGTACATGCCCTTCACTGGAATCAAACCTGGGACCCTCAGTCCGAGGGCCAATGCTCTATCCACTGAGCCAATTCAGCTAGGGCAAACCTTTTTCTTTTAGTCAGAGGTGAGTGTAGAGAAAAATTCCACTAATCTATATATATAAAAGCCTACACAACCTTTACAATGGAACAACTGGTCGCTAAGATGCGCACTGACCACCAGGAGGCAGACGCTCAAAACAGGAGCTGCCCTCAGGCCGGAGGCGCTGATCACCTGATCGGGGCCGGGTCCCCAGGCTGGGGTGGGGAACCAGGGGAGGGTGGCAGAGGAGGTGGTCCCTTTCCTAGGAGGGCCAAGGAACAGCTCCCTCCTTGGGGCCAGCGGCCAACCCCCTGGGTCCCTACCCCTCTCCCCCCGGTTGGCAGGCCCCAATAGCCCGATCGGGGCCTGCTGGCCAACCTCCCAATCCCTCCCCCCGGCCAGGCCCCAGGCTGGGCTGGGGAACTGGGGATGGATGGGTGGCACCGGATGTGGGCAGTGAGGGAAGGAGGGGGGGAGGCAGGAATGCAGGGAACCTGATCGGCCCTGATCGCCAGCCAGGCCTAGGGACAACATCAGTGCACAAATTTCATGCACCAGGCCTCTAGTAGTTCATAAAACTTAAAGACATGAACTAATTACTTGATATTTGTATAAAACACTTTTACTCCATCTTCAAAATATATCTAGGAACAAATTACCTCTCACCACTTCCTCAGCTATCAACTTGGTGGAAGCCACTATCATCTCTTTCCTGATTACTACAATATAACCTCATTACTGGTATCCCAGATTCCATCCTTGTCCTCCTACAATCTATTATCAAGCTTAAAAAATAGAATTCTAGCTGCTGTGATAAGGCAGATGAGGTCACTCTAGCTCAAAACTTCCTGTTTGTTCTCCCTCAGAGTAAAAGTGGAAATCCTTATAAAAACTACAAAGCCCATCTGGCCTCACCTCTGTCCTCCTCTCCTGCCTCAGGGCCTTTGCACTTAAAAGTTCATTTTGCCTGGAACCACATTCCCCCAGGGTGGCATGGCTCATTTGCTCCCCCTCTCTAGGTGTGGATTTACTCACATAGCAGCTTTATAGTGAGTCCTTCCCTAATGCCCCTATTTAAAATTACACTCCTTACCCCTACTTAATTCTTCTCCTTGTTACTTATCTTCTGATATGCTAAATGGTTTACTTGTTGTTTGCACTCTTTCCATTTGAATGTAAGAGCAGGGATCTGTCCCACCCCACCCCTTTGCTATCTCTATCCTAGAACAAGCTCAACAAATATTTGTCTAATTGTAATCTTTTAAAAAAAATTTAGATAGGTTTCAGTAAGCCATACAATTAGTTAACTTAAAGCAACCATCCTACTACTTCATGGTCATTCATGCCAACATCAGATAACAACTAAGCACTCACTTGCTCATTCATTGAGGTTTATGAAATACTGTGCTTGGAATACAAAGAATTAGGCCTAGGTCCTGACCTCTAGGGCTCGACCCAATAGCCTTTCACCTTTCCATACCTTACCTGGGGCTTCACATTCTAGCAACACTGGACCATATGTATTTTCTACTCAGAATTTGCTCTCTCTTGTACATATGCCTTTGCTCATGCTATCTCCTCTCCTTTGAATGGAACCCTTAAAGTATTAAACAAGATGAGGGAGAAGTTGTGAGTGATTCAGGTGGCTTAAGTATATGGGAAGTATGAAGAAATAGCAGAATAATCTAGAGGATTAGAATAGAATTAGAGGTCCCGAATGCCATATTGTGGCCTTTATCCTGAAGGCAAAGGGAAGTCCCTGATTTGATCAAATGTATAGTTTAGAACAGGGGTGGGCAAACTTTTTGACTCGAGGGCCACAATGGGTTCTTAAACTGGACCGGAGGGCCGGAACAAAAGCATGGATGGAGTGTTTGTGTGAACTAATATAAATTCAAAGTAAACATCATTACATAAAAGGGTACGGTCTTTTTTTTTTTTTTAGTTTTATTCATTTCAAACGGGCCGGTTCCGGCCCGCGGGCCGTAGTTTGCCCACGGCTGGGTTAGAAAAATAGTCATTACAATTAGTATAACCCAATGGTCAGCAAACTGCGGCTCGAGAGCCACATGCGGCTCTTTGGCCCCTTGAGTGTGGCTCTTCCACAAAATACCGACTTCTGCGCATGGGCCACGAAGTTTCAATCGCACTGTACATGCGTGCCCGCACTTTAGCACCTAGAACTGAATACAACTAAAGCAATAAAGTCGTTTTTATAATGGAAGAAGTTATCTTTTCATGTTGCACTAACTCGGTTCTAAATTGATAAATCTTTAAGTAAAGAAACACCAAAAAATAATTGCCACTAATCAATGAATAAACTGGAAAGTGATAATTATATACAAAACTTAGTATCTTGAACACAACTTAGTATATGTTTTAATTTTAATTATAAACTGAATCACTGTAAAATTGATGTAAAAAGTAAAAAGTGTGTATTATACACACATAGGATTGCTGCTTGAAGTATCAAACCAGCTTGGGGGCCTTTTCTTCCTTTGCAGTTTTAATGGCACTTCCTTGGTACAACTAATCTAATTTCTGTATTTCTGTCTTACCCCATGTATAGTAGGCCTATGGTAGCCTATGAAGGGCAAGAATTTTTCAAAGTATCCCAACACTTCCAATAGCACCTCATGTATAGTTGGAGCAGAAATGTTCCTCTGCAACTGTACAGAAAAGAGTTAACACAGCAAGCCTAAGACTGCTACGCTTACAAGGTTGGCCCCTAACAGGCATCTGGGAACTTGGGTTTCAGAAGTGTTCCTGCCATTTCCTAACTAATAAGGGTGGTTTACTGTGCCTAAATTATTTGTGCAAACAATATGGTTTATGCTGAACACCTGCTTTCTTTCTGAAATATTGGCAGAGGATGCCTGTGGCCAACCACAATAAAAATCCTGGGCACTGAGTCTCAAATGAGCTTCCCAGGTACACATTTCACATATGTTGCCATAATTCAATGCAGGAGGAGTTAAGTATGTGTCCTGTGACTCCACTGCAGTGATTTTCAACCTTTTTCATCTCATAGCACACATAAACTAATTACTAAACTTCTGTGGCACACCAAAAATTATATTTTTGCCGATCTGAAAAAAACATAGGCATAGCTCTGGCCAGGTGGCACAGCTGGTTGGAGTGTTGTCCCATACACCAAAAGGTTGCATGTTCGATTCCTGGTCAGGGCACACACCTAGGTTTTGAATGTGATCCCTGGCTGAGGTATCTATGGGAGGCAGCTGATGTGATGTTTCTCTCTCTTCCCCCTAAATCAATAAAAACATATCCTCGGGTGAGGACTTAAAAAAAAAAAAGGTATAATTTTGATTCATTCACACCAGCGACTATTGTTGTGTTGGCTATTGTCACTTTTCAATCCGACAATCTAAAGTAAAAGAGGTCAGTGTCCTTGTCTAGTCAGATATTGCATGTTTTAAAAATCTTGTGGCACACGGGCTAGAAATCACTGCTCTGACGTGAAAGGACTCTTGGAAGCTTACACTTAGTCTCCTCTGGACTTCATCCCATGCACCTTTTCCCTTAACTCATTTTACTTTGTATCCTTTCTACCTGAAATCACCCAACTTAGGAGTGGTCTTTGGGATTTGTGACACAGTGGTAAATCAATATGTATACAGTGCTAACTCCAAATTTGTCTCCAAAAATTAATTTCCTACTGAGATTTAGATGACAGGCATACCTTTGAAATATTGTTTTTTTGGTTCCAGACCATTACAATAAAGGAACCGTCTCCATAAAGCAAGTTGTATTCTTTTTGCTGGTGGAGGGCCTTGCCTTCAATTTGTAAAAAACACATCTGTGAAGCGCAATAACGCAAAGCACAATAAAACAAGGTATACCTGTATTTTGTCCATCTGCCTACCTGGCACTGCCCCTTGGAATATCTACCATAAAACGTAACATGGCCAAAACAAAACTCTTGATTTCCTCTACCATATTGTTTTCCCAAACCTCATCTCCGTAAGGGTGCCACTTACATCAAAACCCCAAAATAATCTTTGATTTCTCTTTTCCCTCACTACCAACTCATACTCCACTCCCACAATCCTACCAGTTTACATTTGGGGGGGTGAGGAGAGCAAATCCATCCACAAAGTAAACAATCAATAAACAGAAGCTATTATTAATCTTCTCACTGTTCCTGAGTCCTAGCTGATGTCGCCTCTAGTCCTTACTAGAGCAATACCCTCTCCAAACTAATGTCCCTGCCCCTCACTTGGCCCTTATAACCCATTCTCCAAAGCTAAGCCAAAGGGATCTTTAACAATGTAATGGAATATATCCTTCCCCTGTATAAAACCTTTCAGTGATCTCCCAACACTTTCAAGGCATATGTGACTGGCACCTGCCTACCTCTCTGTTATCATCTGGATGCCACTATTCCCTTTGCTCACTGTGTTCTAACCACACTGGCCTTCTTTCTGATCCTCTTGACATGCCAAAATTATTTCTAACTCAAGTTCCTACTTCACATGATTACCTCAAATGTCATTTCCTGAGAAAGGCTTTCCTTCACACTAGAAAAGATCCCCCTATAGAATGCCATTTATTCTATTATGCCCACATTATCACTCTCTGAAAGTATCTTGTTCATTTATTTGTCCTTATTCATGGCTGCTCTCCATTGTCTGGATCAGTTTTTTGTGCACAGAAGGCACTCAAATACATGTTGAATGAAAGAAAACTAAGGTGCACAACCATCTCCAAACTGAGAAGAAAACAAGAAGTCATCTGTGTGGGGAAAAAGTTCAAAGTCTGGTTAATCAAACCGCTATTCAAATTAAATCTACCCCATGAGTTTCGCAGCTTTCTGACTTGAAAGGGTTCATTTAGTAAGTTTGGGGGGGGGTGAGGGAAGAGGTAGAAAAGTATCATAAACTAGAGGCCCGGTGCATGAAATTCGTGCACTAAGGGGGGAGTCCCTCAGCCGGGCCTGCACCTTCTCGCAGTCTGAGAGCCCGGCTTTTGGCTGAGCGGCGCTCCCCCTGTGGGAGCACACTGACCACCAGGGGGAAGCTCCTGCGTTGAGGGTCTGCCCCCTGGTGGTCAGTGCACATATAGCAACTGGTCGTTCTGCCATTCGGTAGATTTGCATATTACCCTTTTATTATATAGGATACCCTTTTATTATATAGGATACCCTTTTATTATATAGGATTCTTCATCAATTTTGGTCAATAGTAATAGATCAATTATCTTTGTTCATCAATTGGCCAAAGGAAAACCATACAGAGAGCACTTCTAACTATAGATAAGGTACATTACTATTGAAGTGGAATGGCTGGCCTTTCTGTTCTAACAATGGTAGGGGGAGGGGCTTGGAAACATGGGGATCCCAAATATAATACTCAAATATGACACTAAAAGATCTAGAAGAATGCAAATAATACTACTAATAATAATAAAATAAATAACTTGGGGATTTTTTTTTTTATTAAAAAGGACCATGTTTCCTTCCTCACAGTTTCTCCTAGATAGGTCTTAAGATATTACCAAATAGAAAAGGGATTTTCTATCCTGATATTTATTGTTCATTCTCCTTCTGCCATCCCCTTCTATTTACCCTTTTCTGAATTTGGGGCAGCTAACGATTACTGTTCAATTTTTAAATAAAAATGTTATATTTAATGCTACAGAAAACTATTTTAGCCAATTTCCTACACCCTAAATTAATTAACTAATTCATTAAATATTTACTGAATCTCTCTCTGTGCAGGGCAGACCACAATGTTGCCCAGCTCCTGGGACACCAGCATTCACAGCAAGGCTACATAAATGGTATCCCCTTAAAGCTACATAACCCAGCAGCTCTGTGCCAGACACTTCACTAAGCGTATTCCTATGAAGTAGCAAAGACCTTGGATGAGTCATTGTACTATGTACTTTCAAACATACTGCTTTGCTTTTTTTTTTTCTTGCATGTGCCCTGACTGGGGATTGAGCCTGCAACCTTGGTGTATCAGGACAAGGCTCTAACCAAGTGAGCTGCCCTGCCAGAGCATTTTTTCCCCTATTGATTTGAGAGAGGAAGAGAGGTAAAGGGGGTGGGGGGGTGGGGGCGAGGAGAGGGGGTAGGGGAGAGAGAAAGGATGTTTCAAGTGCTAGACTGGATTTGTTGTTCCACTTACTTATGCATTCATCATTTCTTATGTGCCCTATACAGGATGGAACCCACAACCTTGGCGTGTTGGGACAAGGCTCTAACCAACTGAACTGCCCAGCCAGGGTGACCATACTGTTTTACTTTAGCCTCACAACTCTAATTAGGAAACTTGGGCTCAAAAAGCTAAGTATCACATATAAAGTCACTCAGTGTTGGAGGCAGAGCTACAGCCAATGTCTAAGAAACAGAACTAAATCTCCTCAAAACAAGAAAAAAACCTATCTCCAGTTTCAAACAGCTACTCTAGTAGTTTGTTCTAAGTTTACTCTCTGTTATAAGGAGACAAGTTCATAACACATTTTCTTTGTTCATCAATTTATTCAATTTCATAACACATTTTCTTCAGTGCCGATGTTCACCAAAAGAGCAAACCAGCTATGTGGTGGACAAACAAGTCTTTTTTTTCCACCTCTAGAAATCTAGATGTAATTTCTTTCTTTTGGATTTCTCATTTTATTCCTTTAAATGTTTTAAATCTTTCATGGAGTGCAGACTTATTTTCACATTTAAGACTTTTCACTTACACTTTAGACCCTAGAACAATTTTTATTTAACCCACTAGTCTCCTTTGTGTACGTCCCAATTTCCTTTTGCAAAGACATTTATTTTTTTATGTTTAATGAATTATAAGTTAGTGCAAAATTGTTTTTCTCTGCTCTTCCTAGGCAACTAACTTGTGTGTATAGAAAAACAACTTGTTTTTAAATGAATAAGAACGATTTATAAAACTTTTAATCAAATGGATGTTTTCTGTGATACTAGGTATATGTGTGCTTATGCTCCAGTCCTCTCTGTTATAAAACACAACAGTGCAAAGACTTCATATGATATGGCCAGAGCAAATATCTACTTTCCACACTAGTAATTACCTTTGCAGCGACAGTAATGACCACTATTTCTAGTAAACCAGACATCCAGAAGGAAGTAAGTAAAAATAAAGGCATAAGTAACTAATTTCTTGCTAATAAGGTTTTGTTACTGGAAGGTTCCCTTGTATTATTTGGCTTTATGTTTTAGACCATAAACTAGAGACAATTCAGCCAAACAAAGAAAAATACCATACTCAAGAAATGAATTCAATAAATGACTACATCTAGGGAAAAGGATGATTCAAGTGCTAGACTGAATTCCTTAATGCATCAAAATGTTTATATGGCTGAGGTAGTTTTTAAAGGCCCAGCAAAATATAAAACCATAACTTAGCCTTTGCATCACTCTGTGAAGTACATCTATGCAAACTACAAGTTATCAATTTACAAAAGTTACCTTGAAAAAGGAAAGAACAAAAAGGAGGAAAAGTAATATATTTTAAAATAAAATAAAGAGACAACATACCTGGCAACATGAGAAAAAGCATCCACAAGGACAGATTCAAATTCTCTAGTGAATTCAGGTCCTTTCCTTTTACTGTTTTGGATGACATCATTTGCTAAATATAGAAAAGTAAGCTTTCTATTTGATTTGGCTGGAAAAAAGAAAAGATAATTTAACTTACATTAAGGAAATTCTCAATTCACAATTCTTTGCCCTAAGCTATTCCTAAGTTATATAGTAAGACAAGCATTACCTACTTGAGGTCAAGACTGCTACGTATTTGAAAAACCAACTAAGGAACTCCTAACAAAACTCTAACAAAAGAGGTTTGAGAATACAATTTTTGTAAAAACAAAACAAAAATGGACCGTCTTCATTTCTGTGTTATTTTAACCAGGGTAATTAATGAGCAGTAAAAATGAAGATAATCTGAAGAAAATTCCTAAAGGATAAGCAGTCAATATTCTCCAGAAGACATGTTAAAGCCAAGGTTTTCATTTACTCTATTGTAAAAATGAACTTTTCTAACTCACTATTATTAATTGTCAAATACTGCAGAATGAAAGACTGAGGCGGGTTCTTGTAATTTATGCTCCTAGACTGAGAATTTCTCTTAGAACATTCTAATACCCATCATCAGTCAATTACATCAATTCTAAAATCCAGAGCAATCTCTAGATGCACCAACGGATATTATATCTCAAATACAAATATACATTGCTACATTTTTAATGAAAATGTAAACATGTCTGAAATCTGGATATGCAAAGTTATGGGTTCCACAAAAACCATAATTTTTCTCTTATACATACTCTATGTAGTATTTTCTATTACTCTATGCTAGGTATCATATATTAAACCATAAAAACTTCAGGCAATATGTCTGAGTTACAGTTGCTTGGGGAAACATTACTGAATTTCCTGGCTATTATGCACATAACTTCTCAACCGTAAAGTTACATAATTACAATTTTGATCCCAGTTTTCTTTTAAAATAAATAAATAAGAACACAATCAGACAGTTCAAAACACTAAATTTTCTTAAACCACAATGCCAAAGTACCTGAAAAATTCAAGCAAGCCCTATGTTAACCTTTACACACACCTAGTCCTTACTCCGCTTCTCTCAGAAATGTTTCTTTTGAAATGCACACAGCATGTATAAATTCTGACATAGCAGACATTGACACTTTTAAGTGTAGCCACAGAAGAATAACCCAAGTTAAAAACGAGATTTTTAGAACATATTATAGTTTAAACTGATGACTTGAAGTGCTCAAAAAATTAAGTATGAATATACTGAATTGTATAAACCTTCTGGTAACAACCTAATTTTGATGGCCAACTGGTGAGAAATATTGAAAACCTGGAGCTATGCTGCTACAAAGGTACGATTATGGCAAAATGTTTTTTTGTTGTTTTTGTTTTTGTTTTTAAGGGGGAAAAGCAAACCTTGTTCTGGGATGTTGCAACAAGTAAAACTACCAAGTCTATAATGCCATGAAAGTTAACAGATTCAAAAGTAAAACAGAACTTCAACAAAGCAAATTTGACTTCACAAAAGCAAAGCTTTACAAATTCCATATGCTTAATGTTAAAAAACTCAGAATTCATATTATAAAATGCTATGGACATTCAAGAAAGACTTGATATATTTTTCAGTATTACAAATATGATAGCTAAGAGGCCAGAGAGTCAAGGTTTTCACTATCTACAATACCAATTACTTTTCATCATCCTTAAATTTAGCAATGAGTACTTATTTAGGATAAAACTTTATCCCTCCACATCCAGCATCCTGAACAGTCAATATAAGCACCATGTGTGTAAAGGTGATATGACAAAGTCCTAGAGCACTTTAACACACAGTCATAATGCACACAACACACACACCCTCCACTCCAGCTCCAGGTGACAGCTCACTTGTTCAGCTATCTTTCCAATATGACAAAATAGATCTTTTCACACTCTACTGATGCACATTCCAAACTGGTTGAAATAGTTATTGAGTGAAGTTTAAATAACTAGTTGACCAAAAATGTTCACTGTTTGGCTGGTTTTGACAACTAGAAAAGAAAGTTTGTAAAAAAGGCTTATTTGCATTCAGGCCAAGATAAAACAAACAAGCACATTTGTAAAAAATATTCATCTAAGAGTATTTTACACCAAACAGTTTCATAAAGATAGGGAGAATAGAGCTCAAAGAGATAAATTAAGAATCAGTCTTAGAAAAGAAAACAATACATCAGCAATAGAAGAAAATAATACATCAGCAATAGATGTAGTACTTACATTAAGAAAAAGTAATTTTTTTAAATGTGGTAAATATTTTTTGAAGGCAACTCAGAGATAGTTTGTGAACATCTTAGGGAAAATGGCTTGACCATAGATAGAACTGTCCACTTAAAAGACTCAGGGTTGGCTAGAACCTAAGGGTGGTCAATTTGAACATAGGGCACAAACTATTTTCCACTTTAGTGTAGGGGCATTTTCAATTCATGAAGCCTGGATATTAGGAAGCTGTATCCTGATACTTGGAAGCGTATCCTCTAGCTTTGCACTGTCCAATATGGTAGCCACTAGCCACATGAATGAACACTTGAATTATGACTAGCAAAACTCAGGAACTAAATTTTTTATTGTATTTATTTAAAATTTTCATTGCTTAATCACACATTTCAAGTGCTCAATAGGCACCTGTGGCAAGTGGCTACCTTGTTGGACAGCACAGATATAAAACATTTCTATCATCACAGAAAGTTGTATTAGTGCTGTTTATTCAAAATGTCAGAGACCACAATTTAACTCCTACTAAGCAACTTTTTAACTGGGTAACAGGTACCATGCTAAATACTGTAGGTGTTACAAAGAAACAAGAGGTCTAGTTTCTTCCTCAAAACACAACCTAGTGAAAAAGAGGTAACTAGAAAGAATGAAATACAGCAGTCTGTCAGTATTATCTACGAGGGGGGTCGGTTCCAAGACCTCCTCATCCTCCTAACCCCTGTGCCAATACCAATATCTACAGATGCTCAAGTCCCTTATATAAAACTAGAGGCCCGATGCACAAAATTTGTGCAAGGGTAGGCCTTCCTTCCCCCGGCTGCCAGCTTTGCATCCTCATCCACCACCACATACCCGACCGGTTCCCCGGTTCTGCAGAGCCCCGGATCAATCGCCCCGCAGAGGGTGTCCTGGGCCTCCCTCTGCAGGGTGATCACAGAGCCCTCCCCAGACCAATCGCATCGCACCCGCCTTGGCTGTCCTGGCACCAGTGTGTCATAGCGTGGTGGTCGTTCCGTTCAGCTGTTGGGTCAATTTGCACATTATGCTTTTATTATTATAGATGATATACAGCATTTGCATATCCTAAGCAAATCCTCCTATATATTTTCAATCATCTCTAGATTACTTATAATACCTAATAAAATATAAATACTATGTAAGTAGTTGCTACATTGTATTGTTTAGGGAATAATGACAAGAGAAAATAATGACATGTTCAGTACAGATGCCACCATCCTAGACCTAACTACACAGTACACATCAGCAACACCATAACTTTTTCTTTAGAATATGTTCAATCCATGGTTGGATGCAGAACCTATGGATACAGAGGCCAACTGTAAATGTTAAATTGGTGTGGGATGGCAGGTTGTGATTAATTCTAATAAAAGCGCTACAGGTTTGGTTGGAAGGTTATGATCACGTTCACTTATTGCACGTAAGTGCACTGAGGCACTGGGTACTTGAAAGCACAAGTTTTGGTGTCAGAGAGCTCTGGGCTCAGGTCCCAGCTGTGTGACCCTGAACAAAGCACTTAATCTTCCCATACCTTTATCTTCTTATCCATAAAATAGGGATAACAATGCTGGCCATAACTTTCCATCATGTGAGATTAGGGTTAAAGGAGCTTCATAAATGAATGGACTTTCTAAATGGTTCCCCCATCATCACCCCAATAACTCAAGTAGGGTGAGGTGGGGAATCAAGAAGGCTTCCGAAAAGATGTGATATTTGAGATGGACTCTCTAACCTGACTCAGAGCCTACCAGATAGGATCCTATAGAGGCAATTCACATTTTCCCACATCTCAGATGTTAGAAATACTGTATTTGAATGGCACAGTGAGGTACATGAAGGAGGTTCTGGGACCTGTAGGCTCTATCCCCCAACTTCCCAGAAGGCTGAAGGGACCTCTATCTTAGCATAGTACATATTTGGAGGTGGGTCTCTGCTAGAGGACTAGAACTGACTCTCCTGAAAGAATCCTGAATTTTGGTGCCTGCCACCTGCTGTAGTCTGAGCTTCATTCACAGGTTGCAAGGACTTAAAAATACCACTTAGCCACTTCAGTTTCCTCATCCGTAAAACAGGGTAGAATCCCCACCTCACTAATTGTAGAGAACACAGGTAAGTTGTTTCTTAAAGGGCCTATCACATATAGGCTTCATGTCCTCAGCTTTGCAGCGGTTCTCAACCTGTGGGTCGAGACTCCTTTGGCGATCAAACGACTCTTTCACAGGGGTCGCCTAAGACCATGCTGCATATCAGATATTTACATTACGATTCATAACAGTAGCAACATTACAGTTATGAAGTAGCAACGAAAATAATTTTATGGTTGGGTCACAACATGAGGAACTGTATTTAAAGGGCCAGAAGGTTGAGAACCACTGTGCTAGGGACTCATCAGGATAGCAGATGGCTGCGTAGGTGACCATCTTTCCCCACCAGACTGTAAGCAACATGAAGGTGAAGACCCCACCTCACCTTGAGCAATCAGTAACCCCATCTCGCTATTATTTATCGAATGCCAGCACTGTGTCTGACACCATTTAGATTATTCTCTTTACTACAACCTCAGATTTTTCTCGTCTGCAAAGTTTCTACTTCACAGGACTCTGAAAACTTAAAAAATGACAATGCATGTAAAGATATCAGTCCTGGGCCTGGCACATGATAACAGCACAGTAAATATCATCTCCATTTTATAGGTGAGGACCAAAGAGGCTAAGCTGCTGGTGTCAGTAAATGTCAAAGTCAGGCTGCAATTCCAGAGAGTTGGCCTCTGGAGCCAACACGATTTCAAGCACCCAACCTAGTGCCTGGCACATAATCGGCTGAGATCCAGGAATGTCTGTTCGATGGTGAGCGGGGTCTGGAATCAATGAAAGTCGCGTGGGAAGAGGAGCCTAGGTGGTGTGGCCCTTGAACCTCTCTACACTGGGAGTCACGGAACCCACTTCCCCGGGCTGTGCTGGGGACTGAGTGCGAGCATACATGCACCCGTCCTGGCATAATGACTGGCACCGAATAAGGGCTCTGCAAGCGGCAGCTATCCTCGTCCTCATTTTGCAGATGAGCAAACAAGCGGCACACGGATGGAGAAACTCGCCCAATATCGCCCAGATAGCTGCGTGGCTGAGCCAGGACTCATCGAGGCAGTCTTACTCCACAGTCTGCTGGCTCTCGCTCCAAATGCCCAGTCAAGCGCCTGGCACACCACAGGCTCGGCCAGTAACCTCCACAGGGCGCTGAGCACGGCCCAGATAATAATAGTGACAAGTGTCAGGAGGAACCCGAAGGGAAAGCGGCCGGCTGAACTGGGAGTCCGAGCACGGGCGCCCTGGGTGGAGGAACCCCCGACAAGTACCTGAAACCTTCCTCATTTCCCTTTTCCGAGAAGTAGGGATAACACTGTCTCCAGCCTCAGAAGCGCGATCAGAGCCCAGGCCTGGAAAGCAACACTCATGGAAGAAGCTCGAGGGGCCCCTGCAGCGGGTGGAGGAGAGGACGGCCCGGGGAGGGCTCCGGAGGGCGGAGGGAGGGTGTTTACCTTTGCGCAGCTCGCGGTGCCACACCGAGACGATGGGTCCCGCGTGCTTGCGGTGGTGGATGAGCCACAGAGACAGGGTCTGCACGCTCTGCTGCGAGTTGCTCAGCTCCGAGAGCTTCTTCTCCAGCGCGGATTCCGAGAAGGAGGACATGGTGGCGGCGGCGAGGCCCGGCGGGGAGCTGCCTGGGCCGCCCAGTGCGGCGGGAAGAGCGACGGCAGGAGGCCGGGGCCTCACCAGACCGCCCGCGAGACTCTGTACTCACTGACAGGCAGCCAGGCGGGCAAGGGGGAGGGGGATGGGTCTCCGCAGTAACAGCCGCCGGCGCCGCCGCCACAAGATGGCCACCGACCTCTCACCCCGCCGGGAGAGCAGGGTCAAAGGGCAAGGGCCGGAGGAGCTGGACGCCGGGAGGTCTCAGGGCTGTAGATCCACTCCTCCAGTGGCGGCGGCGGCCTCTCTGAACCTCGTTCAGGGCACTTCGGAGGGGAAAGGAACGCAGTTCGGCGGCGGCCTCCGGAAGATGCTTTCACCGCTCGCGCCCGCACGCCGGCGCAGTGTGTCTCTCCGGAACCCTTTCTCTGGCTCCCGCGGAACTTTTTTGGCGCGGCGCGGCGCGGCGCGCTGGTTACGCGTCACTTCCGGCGGGGCGGAGGAGGCGGGACAGTGAGGGAAAGGCTGGAAGACGAGGTAAGGGAAGAGTGGCGGGAGCAGGAGGGAGATCAACAATTGGTGGCCATTGGAGGGGGATCCCGAGGGGACACTGAGGCTGAGACCATGACCTGGGAATGGAGGGAGGCTTTCTCACCTGACAAAATCTGAGCCGCATTCTTCCTCCATAAACAATGCTCCCTGGCTGCCCACCCCCCCAAAGCTTTTTGCTCTGCCAAGCCACCCACGTGCCCTTTCCCGCCTCCATACGGTAGCTCTTACTGTTCTTTCTCCAAAGGTGACGCCCCTCCGTCTCACCTGATGGACTCCCATTCGGCTCCAGGTCCACCCTTTAATGTCCAGTCCTTATGTCATAAAACATACTAGGCTGTTCTTGGCTCTTAATTGGCGGCTTTATTTGGGAAAGTACATGCTGTCTCTGGGGGTCCATTTTACTGTTCCTCAAATTTAAGTAATGTTAACTTTGGAGTTGGAGGCAGAGAAATGAATGGGTCCATTGACCTCCTTTAAGAAACGCTGTTTCAGACACTGAAACCCTTTACTGTTTTCAAAAAGTTTTAAATTCCAGTTATCAAATCCGCAGAGAAATTTGTCTTTCTGCTCTGGGAATAGTAGTAGGAAGTTAGTTTTTGTAGACATACGGAAATTTAGGATTTCCTGATCATCATGGAACTTATCAGTTGTGGGTGGACTCCAGCTAGGAGACAGTCTTCTAGTTGATGCCTGTTTTTGCTTTTAACTCACTGTATTGTAGTTATTTGCTTAGGTGCTTCTCCTCCAGACTAGAATCATAATCATGGCCAACATAGTGAGCAGTTGCTATGAGCCAGTTAACAATATTTTCATTTAGAAACTCATTCAGTCCTTAAGACAAATTCTGAGGTACGCATTGTGTAATTCCCGTTTGGCAAATGAGGAAACAGGCTGAGAGAGATTAGGTAACCTTACCCAAGACCACATAACTGAATTTGAGGGAAGGAACTGCATCTTATCTTTTTTACCCCGACAGCTGATTCATAGCTGATTGAGTAAATTACTATAAAAGAGATGAATAACCTAAAATCACACAGTCAACATATATATATATATATATATATATATATATATATATATATATAAATGCCTAATATGCAAGTTGTCCCCTCGGGAGTTCTACCAGGAGACCAGGAGTTCGCTCGCTTGCTATGACATGCACTGACCACCAGGGGATGGCACAGAAGGAAGGAAGGCCCCGGCCAGGCCTAGGGACCCTACCTGTGCACGAATTTCATGCACCGGGCCTCTATTCTAATTATAATTATAACCTAGGGTCTTTGAGTCCAAATCTAGTGTATCTATCTTTGTGTATTAAGTAACACTCATGTACTGAGCACTTTTATACTGAACCACTTTTTTTTTAAAATATATTTTTATTGATTTCAGAGAGGAAGGGAGAGGGAGAGAGAGATAGAAACATCAATGATGAGAGAGAATCATTGATCGGCTGCCTCCTGCACACACCCCCAGTGGGGATCTAGCCCAAAACCCAGGCATGTGCCCTTGCCTGGAATCGAACCTGGTACCTTTTAGTCTGCAGGCTGATGCTCTGTCCTCTGAGCCAAACCACCTAGGGCCCAAACCACTTTTATTAAGCACCCTACATACATTCTTTTATTTAATCATTACAATAGTCCTATGGAGTGGACATTATTATCACTATTGGATAAATTAGAAAACATAAAATATGGGTGAGTACCCAATGTCACTTAGACATAGGAAATAACAGAGCCAGGAGTCAAATCAAGGTTATCTGATGTCAGATCCCAAATTCTTCACTCCTGATCAGTGGTCTCATTCATTCAGTGAATAATTTTGAGTATCTATGTCTGAAGCACTATTCTAGGGAAACAGTGAGAATCCATTATCTTGGAAGGTTAACTAATATAGGGAAAGGCAGATAAACATGCAAGTATAAAATGAGTCAGAAAGTGATGAGTGCTTTAAATAAAAATCAAGGATGGTAAGGGGGATGAGGAGTGTATGTGTGGGTGGATAGGAGGCTATTATATATGCTGGTCAGAGAAGGCCTCACTGAGACAGTAACATTTGATCAGAGCCCGGAAAAAAAAAAAAAGGGAAAACAAGCCATATACTATGTAGTGGAATGTTGCTCCAGAGAGAAGACCAAGTACAAAGTCCTGAGGTTACACCACTTTGGGCATTTTTAAGAGACAGCAAGGAGGACAGAGTGGCTGAAGTGATATGAAGCAGAAGGCTGGAAACAAGCTCAGAAAATTAGCCTGGGACCCCATTGCATGGGGACTTAAGCAAATTAATGACTTTGGATATTACTCCGAGTGAAATGAGAGTCCATTGGATGGTTTCGAGTAAAAAGAGAAGCATTGTGGCTGTTAAATAGAAAATAGTAAGGGGGCCAGGGTAGATGCAGGAAGACCAGTTTGGCAGCTGTTGTAATAACCCAGGTGAAAGGATGACTCAGACTAGGGTGGAGGTAGTATAAAGGGTTCGATTCTGGGGCTATTTTAGAGGAGGTAACAGAATTTGTTTATTTAGACTCAGATATGGTGCACCCCACCACCACCACCACCTCCCCAACCTCCCGTAGTGTGTGTGGGGCAAGGTGGTCTCAGGAAAGGAACAATGGCTTCTGCCAACACTGCTGTCTGGGAGGAAGCTGCCCACCTCCCTTCTCTCCCCCAGCTCTCATGCTAATTCCAGACAATTCTGTTTTCCCCATATGTCCCTGGTTCCTTTCAAGCTGCTGCCCCAGCACGGGAGCTCAAAGGGAGGGAGTCAAGTTTTGGAATAAGTCAGTGCTTGAACTCTTGAAGAGGAAATGCCTGACAATCCCCTGGCCTCCCCTACCCCCCAGTGTCTTATGTCCATTGGTTATGCTTATATGTATGCATACAAGTCCTTCGGTTGATTTCTTACCCCCTCCTCCTGCCCCCTCAACCCTCCCCAGCCTTCCCGCTGTAGTTTGATAGTCTGTTCGATGCTGCTCTGCCTCTGTATCTATTTTTGTTCATCAGTTTATAATGGTCTTTATTATCCATAAATGAGTGAGATCATGTGGTATTTTTCTTTCATTGACTGGCTTATTTCACTTAGCATAATGCTCTCCAGTTCCATCCATGCTGTTGCAAATGGTAAGAATTCCTTCTTTTTTACAGCAGCATAGTATTCCATCGTGTAGATGTACCACAGTTTTCTAATCCATTCATCTGCTGATGGGCACTTAGGCTGTTTCCAGATCTTCACTATGGTAAATTGTGCTGTTATGAACATAGGGGTGCATATATCCTTTCTGATTGGTGTTTCTGGTTTCTTGGGATATATTCCTAGAAGTGGGATCAATGGGTCAAATGGGAGTTCCATTTTTAACTTTTTGAGGAAACTCCATACTATCTTCCGTAGTGGCTGCACCAGTCTGCATTCTCACCAGCAGTGCACGAGTGTTCGCTTTTCTCCACATCCTCGCCAGCACTTGTCGTTTGTTGATTTGTTGATGATAGCCATTCTGACAGGTGTGAGATGGTACCTCATTGTTGTTTTGATTTGCATCTCTCGGATGATTAGTGACTTTGAGCATGTTTTCATATGTCTCTTGGCTTTCTGAATGTCCTCTTTTGAAAAGTGTCTATTTAGGTCCTTTGCCCATTTATTGATTGGATTGTTTATCTTCCTTTTGTTAAGTTGTATGAGTTCCCTATAAATGTTGGAGATTAAACCCTTATCGGTGATAACATTGGCAAATATGTTCTCCCATGCAGTGGACTTTCTTGTTGTTTTGTTAATGGTTTCTTTTGCTGTGCAGAAGCTTTTTGTTTTGATGTAGTCCCACTTCTTTATTTTCTCTTTAGTTTCCAATGCCCTAGGAGCTGTATCAGAGAAGAAATTGCTTCAGCATATGTCTGAGATTTTGTTGCCTTTGGATTCCTCTAGTATTTTTATGGTTTCCCGTCTTACATTTAAGTCCTTTATCCATTTTGAGTTATTTTTGTATATGGGATAAGTTGGTGGTCTAGTTTCATTTTTTTGCATG